AAACATTTTAAAATTTTGTTAAATTATTTACCCTAATATTCTGTTAGTGGAATAAATAATAATAAATATATACGTTTTGTAGTGTACTTATTTAAATTCGACATAAAATAACACATTTTTCCATTGCTTTTCATTCCAGTTGAAGTGTTTCCGTGTGATTGTTTTACAATAGTGCTTGATAATTATAATCATTCCCAAACTTTTCGAGTTGAATACCACATATTTAATTTAATGTAATAATAATAATAATATAACTTAAAATTAATATTGTAATGCATCCTAACTTAAAAAAGTAATAAATTGTTAACTTAATTATGGCACGTTACTTTAAAATAAAAAATCAATCCTTAGTATTCATAGTTGGTCAAATTAGAAAATATGTTCTGGTTTTACAAATAAGTGCTTATGTTTTTAAGTAACTTCTTCAAAAGATTTTAGCAATAAGTATCAAATTTAGACATTTACTTTTCTTCGTGTATGATTTATAAACATTATAAATATAAACTTTTGGCAAAAATGGGAAATACTAAAATTAATATTATTTGTATAAAACAACATAATTTATATACAAAAAGTTTATATACAAAAGTGCTCTTTTAGTTGTAATAATAATACTGCCCTACTATGGAGGAAGGCAGTAACTGAAAAAAAATGCAAATGCGCGGTAGTTTTGATTGTCATTTTGCCAATTTTTATTTGACATCCTATAGTTGACATTTTAATAAAATAAATTAAACTTAAATTTTGTGCCTTAAAAATATTACTCAATAATGGTTATTAAAAACGAAATTTTTTATTGCATAAAAGTTTTGAAAAATAATTATTACAAAAATTGTTGTCATTAATTATAATTATTAATCAAAACTGTTAATTAATACAAATTTTAATTTTAATAATCCTTATTAATATTTTTTAAGGCAAAAAAATTAAGATAATAATTACATTCTATTATTAAACCAAATTTGCAAAATAGAGTAAATTAATTAATTAATCCCGGTGCATTCGCCATTTTTGCAACAAATTGTAATTTCGTTTTGTTGCATATTTTATGATTTATATAATAACAATATAATATTTCCTTATTTAATATATAAATTACGGATATTAAAGATAATTAAATACACATTTTACTTTTTTAATGATTTTAATGGAAACAGGCCTTAAAATAATCAAAGCTAGGTAAAAAGTATGTATAAAATAAGAAATAGTTCTTAAAATCTATTAGTCCTGCAATTAGCCATAACTGTTTTCGCCAACAAGCACTTTGGTGTAGTTATTTACAAGAAAAGCAGTAGCGCAAATGTTCCATATGAAACTTACGCAAACGCATTAAGAAACATAAATAATGATTTTGCCTGCGTTAATTACGGTTGTTAGCGATGTTAAAACATTTATTCTTACTAACCATGGCAAAGTAATTCGTAATTTAATTACTTCAAAGTAAAACGTGCAATTAAAGGCTCGCTTTACGCTGCTGACATAAGAGAGACGGTGCAAGCAGTCAAATTAAAAAGTTCCTAATTGAACATTCTTTCATTTAAAAAGCAGGACGACGACGGCAGGAGGGCGCTCTAGAAGGCGCCTTAAAAATACTGCAACGTTGAACTTAATTAATCACCCGGGTGGAATATCTACAGTTTCCGCACGTTCCTGCGAAATTGATCTTTTACTTTAAAAGCTAAATTAAAGAATTTCCTGTTTTTTTTATTTATCTAGAGTATCATTAGCTTTTTTATTATCCGAGAGAAATAAACACTCTTGGAGTAAGATGTTTGTTTATAGGATATTTAATTTAAATTAACAGGAAATTTACTATTACCAATTTAAGCTAACATTATAATATACAGTGTGTGCGATTGAAAACCACAACTCCTTATTATATTTTTTTTGTACTCGATTTAATGTGGGAAAATTTAAAATTTTCATTTTTTCATGGCCTGCTAAGATCTGCGATTTGATTTAGAAGTGCTTCAAGTACCTTTATACAAAGTTTGAGCTCAATACATTTGAGTAAAATTTTATAGACTAAAAATATGAAATGTTTTTTTTTTAATTTCAGGGGGGGTTAGTCCCCAAAACATCTTCGTTAGATATCTGACATGGCTCCAAGTCGAATATATATGTTACCTTTTTAGTACGCATAATAGACATTATGCCAGTCGAAAAGTGAAAATTCGCTTTGCTGTGACAAACACCCTAAATAAGGTATTGAGCTCAAACTTTGTATACAGGGATGTAAGAAACTATTTATTTATTTTAAAAAAATTGCCCAATGGTCGATCTCTATATTTCGACCCATTTAGAAGATATAAGCAGGCCATGAAAAAATAAAGTTTAAAACTTTTCCCCATGAAGCATTGGGTACTATGTACCAAAATAAAAAATATATTAAAATCGGTGAACGAGTTTCAAAATAATGGGCAGTAGTAGTTTAATATTGTCTAATTTTATAAGCAATGTATTTAACTCGTTTTTTTAGTAGTTTAGACATTTCGATTTTTTTTTTGCTCGCTTGGCTTAAAATGATTTTTTTATGTTTTTAATGTGGCGAATGCGTCAGGGATATTTTGTTTAAATTTAAATAAATTTCATTCATAAAAGTGGAAAATGTTTTTACTTATCATACTATATTTACATACTTTCATATATATGTATACAAATCATTTCGGACTAAGACTGTTTTCTTTTTGTGGGGTAAAAGTTGACAAAGTATAATTGCATTGAGGCGCATGCATGGCGGCATTGCCAGTTTAAAAAAAAATATCATATTTTTGTCCCTATTTGGGAAATATAATAAATACTTTTTAATAAATTGTTTATTAATTTTATAAAAAAAGCATTTAACAATATGATAATATTTTAGATTTTACAATGGCATGTTTATAAGCAAGAATTTGGCAACGTCGTATTTTGACAACGATAGCCAAGGTTTTTATTATGTGCAGGGTTTTTATAATCAACAATTTTGTTTATTTTCCGCTGTATGCCAATTGTTTTTCCCGTTGTGTTTACGAGATTTTAGTGGCTTTTAGATAATATGCAGATTATGACACTTTTTGTTTTTTATTTAAACTTCAAAAATGTATGTAAGCTAGGCGATATAAACAAATGATTAAGGACTACCTATTTAATATAACCAAAATTTAATTTAGTTGACAATTCATATCATGGACATATTAATATGTTTATGGTATCCTATATTTTATGAACTGACAAAGCCAAAAAAATACGCCAAAAGCGGAAAATTTCGCGGCAGGGGAAAGGGGGGAAAGGAGGGGATGGGAGGTGGAGGTCGAAAAACAAAAAATCGTAATAAAATAATTTATTATTTAAATAATATAATATGCACATCATTCAAAAGTGCAGATATTTATACACTGCCCGTCAAAATTAACGCATAATAAGTATACTTATAAAAAAAATCTAACTCTAAAACGCCTTTACCAATCTTTATGAAATTTTGTATAAAAATACTTCAACTTATATCTCAGTTTACGTGTTCGAGGGTTTTTCAAAAAAATATTTTTAAAGCCCTTTAATTAAATAATAAAAAAACGTTCTAAAAATAACTTTTAGAGAGTTTTTTTTAAGTAAATTAAAAATATGGTGTTAAAGACCCTATTTTTGTTAGTATACCCTAAAAATTTTGTACAAATAAAACGAACAGTAACATAGATACAGCGCTTCAAAGTCGGTAAAAATTACCCCTTTTTGATTATTTTGCTGAAAAATTGTCATTTTTGACGACTTTAAAGCGCTGTATTTTCGTTACTGTTCGTTTGTTTTGTATAACATTTTTAGGGTTTACTTACAAAAATACGGTCTTTCATAGGATATTTTTTATTTACTTAAAAAAAATTCCCCATAAAAGTTTTTTTCGAGCGTTTTTTATTATTAAATAAAAAGGCTTTAAGGATATTTTCTCGAAAAACCCTTGAACACGTTAACTGAGATATAAGTTGAAGTATTTTTATACAAAATTTCATAAAGATTGGAAAAGGCATTTTAGAGTTAGAATTTTTTTACTTATTATGCGTTAATTTTGACGGGCAGAGTATATAAATATATATTTAAAAATAAATTTCGAACCGTTTTTTTATTTTTTGTACGAATTTGTTACTCTTGCGGGACATGTTGATAAAATTCGGGACTGTCCCGCAACAAAAAAAACAAGGTGATCCATACAAAATATAGCGAATAAAGCAGTATATGTTTGAAAGTATGTGCCTTTATTAGTAACTAACGCCCCCTACGAACAAATAGCTGAACTAGTAAAAACGTATCCCTGCTTGGCGCCCTCTACAGGTAACTTATTAAAACAAAAGACTAAAGTCTTAGATACCTGAATACCTAAAAAGTCCATGTTAAAGAAATCGCCGTTTTAAATTGGTTGCGATGTTGCCAAATTGTAGAAAATTACCAAAAATTTGATAATTAAATTAAAAATAAAATATACAAACAAAAAATTTTTATTATGTAGTTTTCTTATTATAATATATTTATTTAAATAAAACATATAAAATAATTTTTACAAAACTTGAATATTTTTTTATACATATATACCTAAAGATAAGGAATTTGAAAACTTAAATAAATATTAAATTCAATAACTCCTATCTTATGTAAATACCAACTTTATTGGTTGAATAGGGGCGTATCAAACTTTTCGATATACAGTGTGTAACCCTGTCCAAAAAAATAGTAGTTGTAATAAGCATTAGTTTTCAAGCTTTCAAAGTTTTTAAAATTTAATTTTATCGTTTTTATTTAAAAAAATATTAAGGGTAAAATAAAATTTTCAAAAAAAAATTCAAATTTTCATTTTTTTGACACATACGGTAAGAAAATACATCTGTCAACCATTTTTGTTTCTTTTGTTTTAATAACCTCCCCCTTCTTAAATGTGTGATATTTTGGCTTAGAAAAGGTTGCCGAGAAGTGTTAAGCTTTAATATCGGCAACGCAGCAAAATCTATTTTAAGGCAACCTGTAACAGCTTACCTGTTTCGACAAAGAATGTTCAGTTGGGACGAAACTCGGTTTTTAATAATGGTTCACGGTTAACCGTTCTAACCTTACTTTTGTCTTCAACCATGACAACAACAATCCATATAATATTTTCGAACGGCTAGTGCTTCAAAACAACAGTGATAAGAGTTTGGTGATATTTAGTGTAACAAAAAGTGCATATTGCGTCCTTCACATATATTTTTTTATGCGTACACGATGATCTCCGGAGGATTTTAAATAACATCAATTGTTTTATTATGATGCGTAAACGTCAATTGTTTGTCGCTTGTTTTGTTTTTACGTTACTTTACGTTTTTATTTTAAATGTTACCAATTATCAGGAAGGTGAGATTAAACCACGAAATAAAATAGGTAAAGCGATTGCTGGGAGACTAACTGTAGCTGGTGTTTCGTTTATTTGCAAAATTTTAACACTAATTTAGTTTTGTTTTATTGTCTTTTTTGTTTTAATTTTATAAGGTCAATTTAAAACAATTTCTTTAGCCACCAAATTCAAATAAGTACATTTATTTTGACTATTTTCTATAAGTAAATGTATTTTACTAAAATATACCTAATTATCATGATTTTTAAGAGTTTAAATATTTTTTATTATTTTATAAAATGTTTTGAAATTCTCGTTTTCATTTAATTTTTTCACTAATTTCAATATTTTCAATGCTTTTTTATGAGTTATACATTTTTTAATAGATTTTTCCCAAGGTTTATATTTTTAAATTAATTTTCTATGGGATACAAATTTTTGAATAGGTTTTTCTTAATTTTTAACATTTTTTTATTTTTTTCCGCAATTTTTTATTATAAAGTTCTTTAATAATTAAGATTTTTAATAATTATAATATTAGACATTTAATCTATTTTCGAGGTTCATAATAATGTCTAGACCATTAGGTTAGCTTTAGGCAATTATACATTTCATGAAATTGATGTCTGTCAGACTCTGTCTAGTAGACAGTGTCTACTTCAAGAAACGGATCCACTTACTGTGTTCTAATTAAATTTTATTATGTATACCTATAAATTTTGTGCATTTCATGAAAAAAATATATCTTTTTCATGAAATGGACGATTTCATACATCCACTTGAAATTATAACACATTTCAGTAAAAGCATAAAACGGCGGTCCGTTTTATAAAATTCACAAAAATTCTATCGACATGATAAAATTAAATTAGACTACACAAAGAATCCGTTTCATGAAATCGACATCCATTTCATGAAATGAATGGAAGTGAGCAAGACAAATATAAATAGATTAAATAAATAAAATAAAAAATATTTTTCTTTAAAGGTCAACTTCTTTTGTTTATGATTAAATATGATTAAAAATTTATAAATATAATTATAATAATTATAATTAAACCACAAGTTTCAGATAAAATAAACAAATTTAAATTTTATAGAATATTTTATTAATACTTACGTAAAGCTTGGGAAAAAATAAAACGGTGGATTCCTTAGCAAAAAATAATTGTTTTTTTCTTAGGAATTTGTGCTTTACAGGTTCTTGTTTTCAAGTTCCACAGAGTTGAAACAAAAAAAATAGTTTTTGTTTAATAACTTTTAAACACTTATAAAAGATAAGAAAACGAAATCTTAGCAACTGCTTTATTTGGTATACCATTATAATGCTGGAAGTAAAAAAAATGCCATTGTAGGTTAGTGGCATATATGCATAGGGATATTGCCGTAGCTAAAGAATTTTTTAATTTATTTTTTAAAATTGGCTCTTTATTTTAAACAAAGTTTCTAAAAATATCATCGAGTATATCATGATCCAATCTTTAGAATATGTAGGTATTAAATAAGCATTAAATAAAAAACATATTTCGTTTTTTATCTTCTCCTACTGGAAAGTAATTTAAAAAATGTTTAATATTAATTGTTATTTATTTAACATTATCGTAAAAATTTCAGTTTTAATTATAAAATATTTTTTTGTATTAGGTGCATGGCTTTTGCTTTTAGTTTTAAGGATTTTAATATTTTTGCAATTATAAAATAAAACGTATTTTTACAGATATAAATTGCAAAACTATTTTATTTTTTTTGTAAAAATAACTACTAAAACACTTTTAATTTCCAAAAATTTTAGTCGAAATAGAAGGCTGGACTGTGAACACAACAAGAAATGTCAGCGAATTTATTTTCATAAATAAATCCGCACTTATTCTACCGAATAAGTTGTGTGAAACCGAAGATTTTTTAACCGTAGTCGTTTTATCGGCCCCCCATCATTTTCAAGAGAGAAACACGATTAGGTCGACATGGGGTTCAGAGAAATTTGTGCTCAACAAAACCATATCCTATTATTTTTTGCTGGGAGAAACTTTGAATGACAATTTACAAGTAAGTATAAGCCCATTTAATATTATTTAAAAGTAAAATTATATAATTTAATTAAAATTAATTATAGGAACAGCTGCTTTAAAATGTTCATAGAAAAGTTTCTAAAAATAAAATTATTCTATTAATGTCCACGGGCCGAGGGTCCAAGAGGACAAATTGACTAAAATTTTCATTTTTCGACCAAGTCATTCCTCATAAAAAGTTCTGCTTGTTTTGAAAACTCTATTGTTATACTTTAAATTTGAAAATATTATACATAATATTAAAAAAGTTCTTTTTGTTGAGGGTGAAACTGACCAAATTTTACAAAAAAAAATAACTCAAAAACTATTAAGTTTAGGTATAGGACATGGTATAGCCATTTTATAAGGAATGATAATAAGAATTTAAAAATGTAAAAAAAATGTGATGATCCATTTAAAATAACAAAGTTGATATCGCTTACGTTAAAACCGGAAGAGGAATTTAAATGGTATTATAATTGCTATACAAATTTCAATTCGATATCTTTTGCCGTTCTCCTTTAACGTTTAACCTACCATCGACCGTGATACACCCTGTATATAATAATTATATAATAATTTTACTAAGCCTAGAAAAAGTTTTTGGCGCGTTATCCAGTTTAAAATATTTTTTAAAACTAAATTTTTAAATTAAAATCACAGTCACTTTGACATTTTTTGTCATACATAGGTAAAGGATACGCGAAATGAGGTACGAAGTATAAATTAGAAATTTAATTTTAAAACTTTAAAAGAAAAAGAAAATTTGAAATACTGAGTTGAAATTTTACAATTACACTTTGGATAGGATTTGAAATCTTTTTTATATTTGTCACAAACAAAAAAAATAAAGGTAGTTTACTTTTGATAGTATTTTATGTTTTCTTGTTTTTCGAGCCCCCTGTATAATATTTTCAAATTTAAAGTATGGGAATAGACAATTGTGTTAAGCAGAACTTTTTATGAAGAATGACTTTTGGCCAAAAAATGTAAATTTTAGTTAATTTGTCTTGGGCCCTCTATCCGTGGACATACTGTATATAGGGAACTTTATTCTTGTAATTTTTTTAATATATTTATTCTAGTATACTTTATACCTATATACCTTTAGGTACTAGAATAATAAAATCGATAAGCTAATAATTGTAGCTCCAGTAAAAAAAAGACATTATTCTTGTAATTTTTATTTATTTTTGTTTAAAAATAGACTTAATAGTAGATTATGTCATAAGGAGTAGAAGTGGCTCTTTTTGTGGTGAGTACAGAGATTGACGGCCGAAGCGTAGCTGAGGCAGGCAACTGTACGAAGCACAAAAAGAGCTTCTACTCCAAATAACATATACAATTTTTTTTTCAAGGGCGTAATATAAATAGGATAAGCAATAGAATTATTTTATTTACTTATAACTCATGTGGTATAAAATTTTGGCTAAAAGCATTACAAATTATTGATAAAAAGTAAAAAAACTTATAACCCTTACTTACAATGCCGATAAATATCCTAAACCATAGATAACAAAGCCTAGACTAAAAATAAACACTGCTCTGTCAAAATGCTGCGCTTGAATTAATTTTGACGTACTGACATTTGTTTGGAGTTCCGACATTGGCGACTCGTCTATCATCATTATATTATACTAATAAACTAGTTGTTCTTTATTTCGTTCAATTAAAATTTAATAAATAATCACTAAATATTCCCTGCGATTATAATTAATATAATTAATACATCGTGATTGCTTTGTATGAAATGCTAAATTAATTTTATTATTTGACGTCTATTGAGTCACCTATGGATTTACTTCTATCCCTAGGCTTTTTTGAGTTTTTTGTCTGCCGCTAATGAAAAAGACGTACTTCAACTATCTCTATACATGCATATAACGTTGTATATGATGGCCGCTTGAAAAAAAAATATATTTATTCTACTACTGTAATACTAAATTCGATTGGATCCTAATTTTAGCTCCTTTAAAAAGTGGGCTTTATTCTTGTAAATTTTATTTATTTTTGTTTTGCTTGCCTATTCATGAGCATAATTTAAAAAATATGGCTACCGTAAAAAGGAGACTATAGTTTCAAAAATAAATAAAAATTACTAGAATATATTCTAGTAATTTTTGTTTATTCTTGTTTTGCTGACTTATGCGAGATCATAATTTGAAAATACTCCAAAAATCTATTTATTCTAGTACTGGAATATTTTAGCCCTAGTAAAAAAGAGACTTAATTCTTGTAATTTTTATTTCTTTTTGTTTTAAAAATATTTTAAAATTTAGGGCATAGGGGAGCGGCGGGTATTGGCGTACATGCGGGTAATCCCGTTAATGCCAAATTTTCGATTGCGTATACTATTTTGGAAAAGTTAAAGCATAAAACGATAGATATCTGGTAAATGGCTGCAAGAATTAAAAATCTACCTTATCAACAAAAACTTCCACACCAAAACAAAGTTTCTTGCATGGCGTCTTATAAGACCGCTGTGACTTTTTAATTACAAAAAACAGTGATTGAATTGGTTTTTTAAAACATTGCTGCCAGTATACGAACAATTAGTGTTTGTTGTTGATTTAAGTCTGAAATGTAAGTTGAAATATTGCAAATAACATCGTAGTAAATTTTTTTAACCTACATAGTAGGTTCGGGTATTCCCGTACGCCATTATGATAGTCCTAAAGACTATATTTGCGGCTACTGTCCAGGTTTGCAGCACTGAATATTTACTATAGATCACATTTTTTATTTTGTTTTAATTTGTTGTATGCTATTATTTATGTTTGTATACCAAATATATTGAATTTGTTACCTTTTTTAATCTAGTTTATGCATGTACGGTAATACCCGCAATGGAGGGTAATGCCGAACATAAACCGTTTTTTGAAAAATACATTTTTGCATTTCTGGCTTAATATCAATGTATTTGTTTCCACCGGATATCACTACAGTGAACCTTAGGCTACGCCCACAACAAATTTTGAAGCTATATCTTCCCAGGTGTATCTGGTGTAATTTTAATGCTTAGGTGTACGTCAATACCCGCCGTTCCCCTAATTTAAAAATACACAAAAAATATATTTATTCTAGTATAATAATAATCGTTTATTTAGCAACCTTGCTATATACAAAAAACATTACAATAAAATACAAAAGTATTATATATAATTAAAAATAAACAAATTTAAACAATAGAATAAAATAACATAATATAATATATAAAAAGTATAAAAGGTATAAGATATAAAAATTTTGAGGAATAAAAAGTTAGAATTAGGTAACATTTTCCATGGTATAATGTCTTAACAATTTCTTAAATAGTTCAAGGTTATTACAGCTTTTTATCTCAGGTGGTAGCTTATGATAATTTGCCAGGCCCTTATGCAATATTGAATTCAACAATTGGGTTGTGTTGCATTTTTGTTGTAGTATAAAATCATTACAGTTTCGTGTGTTGTAACCATGGACATCTTTAAATAATTTAGTTTTATCACAGATATATTTAGGTAACAAACAATTTTTTATTTTAAAAACAAATAAGTTGACATTAAACATAACTTTTTGTTTCACAGATAATACATTTAAAACATTTAACATGGACAAAACTGGAGTATACCGATTACACTTTAAAATAGTTCTTAGGGCTCTGTTTTGAATGACTTGCATTTGGTCAATTTTATAAGTTGGTAAATTAAATAATAGTGTAGAACAATATTCCAAATGTGGTACAGCAATACTTTTATATAATAACAATTTTGTGTGTAATGACAGATTTCCTATACGTGCTATAAAACTTATTTTTTGTGAAAATTTCCGCATTGTGTGATCTGCATGTGTGTGAAATCTTAAGTTAGGATCAAAGATGACACCTAAATATTTAATTTCACACTCATGCTCAATTTTACATTTGTTAATTTTGACATTTACATTTTTTACATCTATTTTTTTTAATATTGATTGTTTTCCAAACACACAAAACTTAGTTTTTTTTCATTTAAACTTAAATTATTGTTACATAACCATATAAATATATTGTTTAAATCGTTGTTTAATGTATTGATCATGGTTTCAATGTTTTTTCCAATAATGTACAGTTGTATTCAATAAAATAGCGTACAAGAATTAGAATGAGAGAAAACTGTCAAAATAATATTATTGCTTAAAACCGGCTTATCACTAACATAAGTCATTAAAATAATTACTATAGGTTATAAAGAGCATTGACGTCGTAGGTTAATTAAATAATATTACAAAAATTATTAATTTTTAATATAGATTTTTTATTTCTATTATACCACGGTACGAATTGACCATTCTTCTTCGATTCTTGATACTATTTGAGCCTTTTTAACCGACGAGGCATTTTTATTTTCTACTGTCAGTTATAGTGACTTAAGTCAGTGGAAAGCCGGTTTTACGCAATAATGTTGACAGTTTTCTCTCATTCTAATTCTTGTACGCTTTTTTAATGAATACAACTGTACACCATAGTGTCATCAGCAAATAATTCAATTTGACATTCTTTTACACATTCAACAACATCATTTACATACAATAAAAACAATAATGGTCCTAACACAGTCCCTTGGGGCACTCCATAATCAACATTTAATAAATCTGACACACAGTTTTTAAATTTGACCTTTTGTTTTCTGTTTGACAAGTAAGAGTGAAACCAGTCTTTTGCTGTTCCGTTAATACCTAAAGAACTCAGTTTGTTTAGCAAGATATTTCTGTCCACGGTTTCAAACGCACGTCTCAAATCCAGGAACACAGCCAAAACCAAATTTTCCCCATCAATTTGCCTTATAAATGTGTCACATATATTCACAACCACGGACTCACACGAATGACGAAGACGAAATCCTGATTGATTGGGTACTAACAGGTTATTTACATCACAATGCTGTTGTACTTGTTCCTTAACTGCCAGTTCTAATACTTTTTCGTAGGTTTCCACGGTGTTAATCGGTCTGAATTCATTTATTTGTTTAGTATTTGGCA